ATTTATTTTTCAGTCTTTACATTCTTCACGAAAAGAAACCGAGGAATGATGGGTTAAACGCCTTAGCTTGGGGTGTAAGGGAAAATTAAGACCTAAACCAGTGTGAAAGTAAAGATGTGTCTTATTAGCATTATAGTCTAACTATTTGTTATTGAAGATTACATTAAAATTAATTGACAACTAATTTTATGTATGAAAATGCACTAACTTTCAGAGTTAAGATAAATAAGAAAACATGAGGTAGTAGAAGAAGGCTATAAATAGTTTTAATATCTGACAAGTATTATACTCCTACAGTGTATGATGGTAACATTATGTTGTGATAGGATTCACGATATCTAACATAAATGATATCGTATCGATAGCACGTTAGCCGGTGTGTGCTCTTGGGAGGCCGTCTGACCCGATAGTTGATACTGTGACAGTTTTATAAAATTATTATGTGGTTTTTATAGAACCGTGATAGGAGTGCTATGTCACCTTTCTGTCGGATCATCTGTTTTGTGTCTTAATCAACCTTTGCACCATGTGTTTTTTTATACGACTGATATTTTCTTAGCTACTAATTAAATCTCCTAATTTTAGATAAATCAAATTTCTCGAATTCGTCATCTGAAATTAGTTTTTATAGACTGGACTTTTGAAGAACTTTACAAAGCTTTCTTTGTGGAAACGATATCTGCTACTTATACCATTTTTACTTGTTACAAGACGATAGTAGTTCATATGGGCAGTGTCTTTTATTTATTTATTAATTTCATAACATAAAACTAAAAACTATAATCATCCTATGATTGGTTTTTAGGCATTCACTAACATATTTCCCTACTCATCCCCCTTCCCTCCATTGTTGCCACTTACCACCATTTTCACAGTATCGGTATTAGCTATATCACTACACACTATTGTTATACACCACCGCTATCCACCTTCCCCACCCCCCACCACTATTAAATAAAGATCCAAACCATAAAACTAAATCAGATTGTTTCAAAACCTAAACTAAATAAAAAAAAATAACTTAAACTAAATCAAAATCCTAAACTAAATTAGAATCCTAATTTAAATCACACCATATGTAACACCTCAAACTTCACATTTGCATATAACATATATTTCATATAAAAGAACTATAGATTACACCACATAGGTCCCACTAGTATAAGGATTCTATATGTACAAAATTTACATATGAAAAATTCCAAAAGAATATTCCTTCACTATCACATGTATAACGACATGTATTTTCAAAATATGCAGGCATCAGAATATTCTTCATAAAGTAGATAACACATAAGGAAAATAATTATATTTTCTTCTTCCCCTTATTATCCCGAGAACCCGCAGTTCCTGCAATGCACATTTTAAAAAAAAATGAAGGTTAGACCGGAAGGTCTAGTGAGGAAATCCCTTCTTTGCAAATGTAGGGTGAAGATCACCAAAACCTGATAAAAACATCTTTTATATGGAAATAATTGCATTTTAGCAAAAATATGCAATCTGTTTGTTAACCAAAATATAAAGCCAATTGATTGCTGCAACACATAGCACAAATGTAACACTTTTGAACTCTGAATCACTTAACAGATTTGTTATAAAACTCCTCTAGCTCAACAGGCCAAAGCTCCTCTGCCCTTGATAACCAGAGCATCTGCATTCAAACGAAACAACACCCAATCAGAGACCCTCTAGACCAACAGAGTCTCTGGTCCAGAAAGAACCTATCTTAACTTTTAAAAGGTAAAATAAACTAGAACCAGAGCTCTTTTGGTTCTTATTTCATTTATAAAGATTTTTAAAGAAATGAATTAATTTTAAAAGGCAGAGCACTGATGCATAGTTCATACACATAGCTCGGGTACAAAGCTTTAGACAAAAATACGAAGTAACTATTTTCAAGATACAGAGCTTCTGTATAATACATACAGAGCTTCTGGTTCATAAAATTTCCAAAAACATTTTATAGTCTTTCCACATGACCAGAGGTTCTCTGGTCCTTTTAAAATACCAGACAGAGACCCTCTGCATCATTCTCACATATGTTCAAACTTGTTAGAAATCGTAGGCAATTAAAGCCTCTAGTTATAAATCATTTTTCCCTTCTCAATAACATCAAAGTTATTATTTCTAAAGAGAACAATACCTTTAAATCATCAAGTCTCAAAGAAATGCTGATTTAGAATTATTGTATCTGATAGTGATGATAACAAGAGTTATAATAATACCCACACCAAGAATTGTCACCCTTTTATTCATAGGTACACCTCTTCTTGATATGTTGCTCTTATTTCTTCTTTAAAACAGGGTTCCTTTCCAGAACAGACTTACGTTACCACGTCTGGAAGTACCCAAGACCCAGTTCCAAGCCAGAACAGACAAATGTCACCACATCTGGGGAACTATTTCTTAAAACAAAGTTTCATTCCAGAACAGACTTACGTCACCACGTTTGGAAGAAACATTTCAAAATAGAGTTTCAAACCAGAACGGACTTATGTCACCATGTCTGGAAGAAACATTTCAAAAAATAGAGTTTCAAACCAGAACAGACTTATGTCTCCATGTCTGAATATTTCAAAAAAAAAAATAGAGTTTCAAACCAGAATAAACCTACGTCACCACGTCTGAAAGAAATATTTCCCAAAATATAGTTTCAAACCAGAACAGACTTATGTCAACACATCTGAAAGATACATTTAATATATTTTCCAATATATTAAAAGATATTAAATACCCTTTTCACAATACAACAGTTTAATCAGATATTGTGAGGACAACTTATCCAGCCAACACATGTCCGGACAACTTTAGCCGGACACCCTTATCCGGACAACACAACTAATCTAGGCGATAAATGATTATACGGACAACACTCAACCTGATACGCTCTTATCGGACAACATAGTGTTCGGGTACAATTTTCATCGGTCAACACGGTGACCAGACATGCCCTCATCGGATAACACAGTATTCGAACACAAACTTCATTAGTTAAGCATGTACACTGATCCGGACAACACAGTGTCCGGACAAGTCTAATCCAGTCAACACAGTGCCAGGTGAAAAGATCCATACGGTCAAAGGAGATCAATAAGAACATAGATCGCATTAACAAAACATCATTAATCCAAAACTTATACAACCATTAATAAAATAGATTCAACGGTTTGTTTGTATGTTGTAAAACTCACCTTTTTTGCAGATTCAAATTTTTGAAAGCAAACAACAAACACAAATCAGCTACCAAATTGATCCAAATCTCAGCTTCTAAAATTAGCAAGAACTTCTCTATAATTTTTGTTTCCAAAAATAGCAAAAACCTGCCTTTTCTAAAAACAACCCCTTTTATACCCTTCCTTAAAAAGGAAGGCGGCTCATGCATATAACTCAATACACATAACCCTCATGCATGCATATGTATATTTAAAAGAATATACATCAACTCTTCATGCATGCCCATGAATACATATAAAATCCACACATATATATATATATATATATATATATATATTTAAAAGAATATACATCAACTCTTCATGCATGCCCATGAATACATATAAAATCCACACACACATATATATATATATATATATATATTCATAATGAGGAGTGATCAAATAAAAACCGCCCTCATTTGTGTAAACCGTGCAAACCACCTTCATCCGTCGATTTCATTGTTTAATCTTATGAAATTTTTTCATGAAATTGTTTAATCTTGTGAAATTGTTTCATATAATACTTGTTTTGATCAAGTTGTTTCATATATGGTTGTAAAATTGTTTCATATAATACTTAATGAAACTGTTTCATGTATTTCTCTAAAATTAATGAAACTATTTCATGTATTTCTCTAAAAATTAAAATAATGAAGATGATAATATCTATGATTAACACCCTCCACAATAAAAATGATTAATCAACCTTTCATAATTACAAAAAAATGAACAAAATGAAAAATTATGATTGGTTGAATGAGGTTTGCACGGTTTGTACAAATTGAGTGGTTTGCATTTGATCGCTCCCCTATTCATAATTCCCATTAAAATGTACACACTCACATATTAATCTCATGTAAGCATGTATCCATATAATCAATTATAACAATTAATCAGATATTCATGTGATCACATAATCAGGTAATCACATAGCAATTTCCTCGGATGATAACCAGAATCCAATTATCACACCATAATATATGTCAGAGGAAATAGAAGAAACTGAATCACGAAAATGCACGACATGCACTCAGTTTGAAGTTGCTCGAAGATTTCAATATGGAATCGCTGACTCCATTGAATGCAACAGTGATGAGTGGCCGGTGAACGCAGTGGATGGTATAAAACGAAAAAGAGAGGTGATGGTGGACATAGGGAAAGGGAGACCGGCGATGGGTGTTTGAAGCTCCGATTATATATATATATATATATATAATGCAAATAATTGCCCCTCAATTTTTAATGAAAAAGGCAAAGAAATAAATCGAAATGAAACAAAATGTCCATATACCTTGAAAGGGACAAACGTTACAGACCAAAGGCGAACAGTACTCTTTATTATAATATGATGATTATGAAGATGATTGAGTTTATTTTATTGTGATCTGAAATATTCATAAAATATAATCAAATTTTATTCATTATTATTAACGCTTTAAATCGGCAAACACTCGATATAATTATAAAACTAAATATCAATTAGAATAGATAAGCAATTGACATTCCTTTATATGATATGATGTATAGTGATTAGAGAATTTGTATTAAAAACTCTGTCAAAAATAACACCTTTTATTCTTTTATTTAGAAAAAAATTCTCCACCATATTTACCAAAAATTAAATACCAAAAAAAGATAGGGCATTTGTGATGTTTAACATATTTTTAGAAAGAAAAAAGAAATTGAGGATTTGTATTGGCGTATTTTACGGTGGTTTGTCCTCTAGAAAATGGGGAAAGATCAATCTAATTTTTCTTTTTAATTTTTGTGGAGACAATTAATAAAATGACGTCACCGTCATCATCACCACCACCGTCGCAACCTTCTTCCACCGGAGAAGAAGCAGAGGTTGTTCACATTAACCGCCTCCCCGACGAGTTACTACTCTTAATATTCACCAAATTAAACAATGCAAGATCCCTTTGTATCTGCAATCTAGTCTGCAAGCGTTTCTCCGCCGTCGTCCACCAAACGCCGTCGATATTCCTCACATTTCCTCACCGGCAATCAAACGATCGTAATGAAAATTTGCCTAAAAAATTGTTCAATTACCTTTCAAAATCCTTCTTCCGGAAGCCACCGCCGAATAAATTCGACGGAGCGTTGTTCCAATCGGCGGTTGATTCGCTGAATCATTTCCAAAATATAAGAAATCTGCAAATCGAGCTTCCTTCGTTCCAGCAAGACGATTCAATCATCAAATGGCACGCAGAGTTCGGTAGAGATTTGAATCTATGCGTGATATTATTCGCAACGTCTTTGCATCAAACAACGTCATCGAACCACCAGATCCAGAATCCGGACACTCTGTTGACGAATCAGCTTCTGCAATCGAGAATCGCGTCTGCGAATCAGTGTTTTAGAGAAGCGACATGGCGGCAGCATATTCTTCGACATGTGGTGGAGAATCACCGCCAAACCCTAGACACAGCCGAGATCAGCGATTCGAGCAAGAAAGGTAGGGTTGTTATGCATGGAAAACAACAACTACTCGATCTGCTTGATCCAGAGGTGAAATTGCCGGCATCTGGATATGGAAAACTTTGGCATGTGCAAATGCTTCGGCTGCCGGAATCAGGACGTGTACTGCACGGCGTAACGGTTGTGGCCATCCGACGTACCGGTGAGAATGAGGAAGAGCATGAGGATGTTGGTGTGAAGCATTTGATGAGGAAGAAAGTGTATGAAATGGATCAACATTTTCTTCTATGGGAAGTTTTGAGTCATATTTTTCAGAACCATGCACCTTCAAGGACTCTCAACATAAATGTAAACAGACGATAATTCACTTGGCTATGATTTCGTGAATTTTATATTTTAATATTTGTTTTATAAAATATATATAAACGATACTTTTTAAATTTTTGCACTGAACCACCAACCATATATATGTCTATTATTAAGTTTGTGATGACTGTAAGATCCAATTCCAACCATAAATTAATAGATAAATTAGAAAATTGATAATTTTGGTAATTTTGAATTAAAATTTTAATGCATGGACATTTTAAGTATTTTCTAGCTCCTCTCTTCTCTCTCCATCACCCGGCCTCCGGCCACCATCCTTCGGTGATACCACAAGGGTATCACAATGCATCTTATATGTGCTTGGGTATCACACTAAGGTCGTTTGTGTGGTCGACCGGAGATGTAACACAGTGGTATCACAATGCATCTTATATGTGCTTGGATATCAATCACACTGAGTCTTTTTGTTTAACGGAGTCAATATTTTTATGTATCAGAGTGGTATCACTGGAGGACGGTGGCCGGAGTACGGAGGACGGAGAGAGAAGAGGGGTGAGAAAATACCTGAAATGTCCTTCATTAAAATTTTAATTTAAAATTACCAAAATTATAAATTTTCTAATTTATCTATTGATTTGTGGTTGAGATCAAATCTCACGGTTACTACAAACTAGACAGTTCATCCTTGAATGGGTTCATCTAAGAAATATATAACTGATTATAATTAGATATTAAATTGTAATTGAATCAGATCGGATTTAAAATTCAAATTGGATCGGTTGGTTTTTGGATTGGAATTGAAATTAGCCCAAGCATCAATGGCGTTTTCCTAGCAAAAGTTCATCCAATTTGGTTTTTCCTTGGGCTGATGGTAAGAATCAATCTTCTATTTAAGTTCAGTCAATATTGTGTAATTAATGCTTTTCCTTGAATTATAAGTGAGTGAGTCATAGGATGTCTTCAGCTCATTTGAGCTGCATGATTGTAACCTATTGTTTCAATGTACAAAAATGTAAGAATTCTCCTTGTTCAACTCACACTTAGCTACAAGAATGGCAAACTGAAAGTTCATCAACAATCTTGTTTTTGAAGTTGTTGCACATTTTAAACCTCATAGCACAAATTAGGTACATTAACTCACTTACAATTGAAATCATCAGGTTGTATGAGTATTGTTTGAATCTATATCCTCAATTGGTGTTTACTTCGATTTCTCGACATCGGCTGAGAAAGGAAATTATATAACAAAATTTATGCGTTTGAGTAGAGATGCATAAAAGTCATGTTAACCAACTTTGGACTAAAAATGATCCGGATCAGTAAAACAACCTAACCGGTCAATACAAAAATGAGGAGTATCAAATGCCTATTCCGTCGCTGCTTTATCGTTGATAGTTCGTTAGTCAAAAACTCATAGATAATGTTATCAACAACAGATCGGCGACGAATTTTAGCGACGGATCAACGATATGTGTTTTTTTAGTACGGATTAGCAACGGAATACTTTCAATGACGGATTTGCAACGAAAAAATTTCAGCGATGGATTTGCAACGAAAAAATTTCAGCGACGGATTAGCGAAGAAAATCTTTCAGCAACGGGTTAGCGAGGGAGGCTTTTAGCGACGGATTTGAGAGGGACCAAGATCTTTTAGCGATACATTTTCCGTCACTATTCGTTGCTAATTTTTAATAATTTAAAATTACATAACTCATATATTTATTTATACAAAACCTGCCAATAAAATAACAAAACAAAATTGTCCGACAAATTAAAACTAACCAATTCATACAGTTTAAAATATCAGATTTATACAATCTAATGTTCAAATTCATATAATTTAAGTTAACAAGCTAACTACCGGAAGGTGGGGGAGGGGGAAAAACATATCTTGACCGCCACATAAACGCAGCAAAATACTCCGATAATACGATATGTCCAGCTAATTGGGCAGCGTGTTCGGCCTGTCCGGCCTCCAGATCTATGTTATTCTTCCGTTCGGCCTCCACATCGGCTTGATAGCGTTACTCTTGTAGCCGCGCCTCCTCCTCTACCCTTGCTAACTTCTCTCTCAATTCCGCTACCTGTAGATATTCAATTTTTGACAAAAATCTGTAATTTGTTTGTAATAAAAGTAATGAGAAAGTACATAACAGTACAACTAACATATCTCCGTTGTTGATCCGATATACTATGATCTCCCGGTGCTACTGCTACATCTACCCGTAATAGCATAAGAGGGATCCTAGGAGACCCCGAAACCAAAAAGACGGCCCTTCTTCCGTCCTCCAACACTCTGCTCCCGAAGAGATGCCTCATCAGGGAGAGGTGTGTTGACACTAGACTGTGACTCATACCTAATCGATTGAATTGCTCCTATGGTTTACCAAAACAAAAATGGGTGATCTTATATATGTAGAAATTTCAACAGCACAATGATTGTAAATCAAATATATCCAATGCTTCTTTTAATTAGTTAAAACATTCTAATTACCAATGGTAGTCATAATCTCAACCTATCTACTTAGCCTAACGTCTTCCCAGCAATGGTAGCCCAAACTAGTAGCATCACTATGTTTATTAAAATATATTACTTTAAACCTACTAAATGTATCTATAAAACAAATTAATGGTTTTAGAAAACTTACATTAAGCCTAGCAGCTTCGGGGTAACTGAATTGACGAGGATCAGTAGGTCGGCCGGATGAACCCAGATCGAACTTCTGGTTCATGCAGCGGGTACACTCAAACACCTCAGTAGTAGTCGGCTCACAACCCATTATATGTGCCTACATTAGACAATTAAGTTAAGTTGTTAGTAAACATAGAGAGCTAATTAGATATTCAAAAAAAATTGTGTACTCACCATCTGTCTCGATGTTGTGCAATACTAATTGATCTCTCAGTGTACTTGGGTGACACCCCCTTAAAGTGTGTGTTTCGATTGGTCTTATTGATCATGGATTTCCTTTTCCAAGGCTTGGTATCCTAAACCTGTTATAACATAACACATATATAAGTCGGCACGAAACACATGGCAATTCACAAAGTTCACAATAAAGACACATACTTAGTCAATCATCTGAATTCGAAAAGCTCTCTAGTATCCATATAGGGTAGTGTAATCTAATTCATGAGAAGGCCTCACCGTCCCACTGCTGAGCACCAGGATAGGCCTGTGTCGAGGCCGAGTCACATGCAGCGCCTCATCCAATCTGAGTACCTATTATGCATGGTTTTGTTCCATAAATCACGAACGATGTCATTCAGCTCTGGTTCCCACAAGAACTTAGCCTACATACACAATTTGTATCATTGTAAAAACAATAACTTTATATGTATAAGTACATTTAAACACCCAATATGAAAGCGTTGGAACTTCAAGTCGTAGGATTCCGGATGGACTTTCTTCCATCTATGCCACAAACCAGCAAAGAAAGACCTAAATATGATCGTCATCTCTCGGCTAACATGGGCATCTTTGAACCTGTACAATTAAAAAATATACACAACATAAAAGTCATTCATATCATTTTATTATGTAATACAAAGTTTATACCACATCTCTCATTTCCTAACAAAGAAATATATAGTCGTTGGCTCAGATGATTGGGTGTCGACATCTCATGGTTGGGGACTCTCCTCGACCCCTAACCATTCAAAGTTGGGGCCTCCATCTTCTGGTTATCGATATCATCAGCTTGCGGGTCGCCACGCCTGCCTGCCCAATAAAACCAATTATGATTTTTGGCCTATCCCTTGCAAATCCCTTGCTAATCAGCGACGGATTAGCGATGGAAATGATTTTTGGCCTATCCCTCGCAAATCCCAACGACATATTTTTTCCGTCGCTGGTATTATGTTTTCTAGTAATGAGTTAAAGAGACCTGATACAAGGACCGGTTATAGAGTAAGGCCTCATTTGGTTCTTATAAAACCGATTCTTTTAGGATCAATTAATGTGCATTTATAGCTTCAAGATTGAAAAGACATTTTAGAAAATATTTTTTAACTATTAAAAAATATTTTTTTAACTTATCCATAAATAGTAACTATTAAAAAAAGTTGCAATATAAGAGGGAGTAAGATCAAACAATATGCATGAACAAATAAAAATATATAAAAAACTTTTGAAAAATACATAAAAGATTGTTGTAAAAATTTGATTAATTAAATTCCTTTATTCAAATTAAAATCATAAATAAACATAAATTTTGAACCATAAAATACATAATTTATGGTCCAATTATGGATACAAACTATGATCATATGTATATTTATTTAGTTCTTTAATAGCTCCACCAATGTTTCTCCTTGGAAATTGGAATTGATACTTATTTAGCTTCATTTTTTTATTCAGTCTGTTGTCTGTTGTGGAATCCATATTTCATACAAATCTTGATATAATCTTCATAGATTGATAAGAACACTAAGAATGATGCAAGTAATGATTAGAAGAGAGAGAGAGAGAATTACATCAGCCAAATCTTGATTTCTGTGTTAATGATAAAAGCTCTAATTACAATTACAAGGGAATTCCTATTTATACTAGGAAAGTAAAGACTAAAATATTACAAATAAAACTATTCTAAGGAGAAACTTGAATACAACTTTTAAGCTCTAATCTTGAACCCAACATTCTCCCCCTTTGGATTCAAGTTTGGACTCTTGTGAATTTCGTTTTGCGCAGTCCAAGTATCTTCTCCAACCGTCTTAGAGCATTTCTATATTGTAACTTCTCCTCAAGCAAATTAATAGCATTAACGAGCAAGTATCTTTCTTTGGGATTCATACGTTCTGATTCCACAGCTTTATCATCACCGACTCTCTTTGATTCCAACACCCTCCTTACCAGCTTGATCGTACCATCAGAGTACTTGTTTAGCTCACTGAATCTCATGAACTTTTTAACCTGAAGTTGAGCAAAGTAAATAACTCCAAACTCTGGACTTTCAAGAACCATATAGACTGGATATCCATCAATGTCTTCAAGCTCCTGATTTGGTCTTTTGAGGTTAATTATCTTCTGATTGTCTT